ACATCTGTATTACAATTTATCATTTCTAATATTATATTAATTTTTGTTTCAGAGGCTAACAATTTGGCACAAGAACTTTTCTCACAAAAACTGTATCCTCAAGAGAGAATAATAAAGTACCTTCTCAGTCAGTTGGCCAAAGCTGGAGATGTGGAGACCATTTCCACCATGAATAAACTTTTGCCTGCCAGGTTGCTAAGAGCGGTTTCATATCATAATCTGCTCTGCAATGCTTATTCCAATAGGTTAGCAGAAGTCATAAAGAATAAAAAGATATTTTCACATTTAATAGTTTTGTTTATATTTTTTGAATAATATTTAATTTAATATAATTTTCTAATAGAAGTGCTGTAAAAGTTTTGAAATATGTAATTGTTAATGTATCTGATTTTCTTCTTCAGAATTTGCAATATATTTCCTTATATTCATTGATACAGACTGAAAGAAAGTTTCAGTAATATGAAGTGAATTATTATTTAGTTGATTTGAAAGAATTAAAAATTTCTATTTTGATAATATATAAATAGAAATTTTTTTGTAATTTCAAGTGGACGGCATCTTGAATTGCTGGAAGAATTAGAGAAAGATCTCGGAAAGAGCAAACTAGTTTTTCCTGCTGGAGGAATATTGGGTCTACTCAAGGATCATCCAGAAATAGAGGAAAGAAGTAAGTGTATACAGTTTTTATGTTAAACAGAATACAATTTATGGTAATATATAGTCAATAATCAGCTTCTCTGTGTAAATGACATTTATTAAAAAAAAGGAAACAATGCAGTTTATCTATTTGAATATATCAAAGTATTTGGAAAATTTTTTTCTTCTCTCTGCAATTTTTTCTTCAAAATTCAGAAATGCTTGGCAGAGAATTTTTTTTCATATTAAAAAGTTGCACCCTATCATTTTTTTTTCTATAAAATTTCAACTAATAAATTTGAATTAATTTTTTTACAGTTTGCCTTCTTCTTGGAATGGAGTATATGTATTTTTAATTTCATCTGATATCTTATATTAATAAGCTTTTAAAGTGAAATATTTTATTAATTAGATTTTCTATAATTTCTTTATGTTTGTGATTACAGTTGTGAAATTAGCAGAAAGGTATCATAAAGAAGAAGGTTTTGTAATACCAAAGAATATGGTTTGGATGCACTATTTTCTTAAAGAAAATTACAATAAAGCAGAAGAAATTTTACAGGTATTGTTTAAATTCTGAACTAAATTTATTTACTTGTGAAATATTTGAATTTATATTGTAACCATACTTTGTCTTTACACTAGTTTTCTATAATACATATAAACTGGAATTAAACTATACTGAATTTTTTGTTTTTGCAGGCATTCTGGTGTATTATTTTATCTTTAAACTACACCAGATAAACTTTGCAAGTTATGTTCATTTTTATAATAGAATTACTTTTGCATAAAAAAAAATTTATTACGGACCAAATTAATCCAAAATGATTCCATCTGAAGATGGAAGTATGCAATTCAGGAATTGAGAACTATTTCATTCTAAAAAAATTCTCATTGTTTCCAAGAACTTAAAAATGCTTAATATTCTATTGCCATCTCAAAAATGACCATGGAAAAAATACTTTACAAAAATCATTCTCTTATGACCAGTCAGAAGAAAGAACAGATTATAGTCATGACTTCAGTGGTCAATTTATTATTGAACATTCCTTAATAATCTCATTCATTTGTATTAAGTCATTCTTTAAACAAGTCCAAAAGAATTATCAGAATCCATTTCTTTCGTAAATAATTATTGATGATATGAGTCACATGTAGAAATATTCTAATTGCAAATGTTTTGATTGAATTTAATTTTTAATAAATTTAATATTCATTAAATTTATTAAAAATTAAATTAAAATTTAAAATTAATTTAATTTTTAATTTCAATTTAATAAATTAAAAAATTCATTATTATAACATAAAAATAATTAAATTCATCTTATAATAATTAAATTCATCTTATAATAAAAATTTTTCTCTAAAAAAAGAGACCCTTTACAGGTTGAGAATTCTTTATCCTTGTGAATGGAAGTATTTCAGATTTTGGAATATTTGCACCTGATTTGATAAAACAATAAGTCATTCAGACTAATATATATTTTGCATATTTAAATATTTTTGTTTATTTCCTTAAAACATTATATTCACATAAATGTGTGGAATTTTTTTTAGTGTGTACTGTAGTTGTGTAAAAATAATTTTAAAAGATATTCACATTGTGGCATTAATTGATCAATTTGTATTTTATTGATTTGTATTTGTTCAAATTTTGAATATGTTCTGGTAAACATATATTAAAATTTTGGATGGAACTACATTTATAGTACCAAAAAAGTCCCATGTTTTGTATGTATACACTTCTCATAAAGTTTATCACAGGTGCCTGGCAAAAAGACCCTGTGTGAATGATGAAATATTCCCAGGGCTTTGTGAAATTTTTCTATTTGTGGTATATTATGTCAGCAATTAAAAAAATTTCTGGATTTTGGAAGTTTGCAACCTGTACAAATATTGATTTTTCCAGTTCAACCCTACGTAAAGTTTGTTGGTAAAAAATACTAAAAAAGCAAATTCACAGACTTTTAAAAAAAAAAATTACTGTAAATAATTTCATAAATTTATATTGAGAGGAGAGAATATGATGAAGAAACAGATTAGATCATATTAAAAGATGATTATATGGCACTGGTCATGCTTTCATGAGAAAATGCCATTTAAATTTTATGAAATTCTTTAGTTTAAATAGCCAGTTTATTAGTCAGAAATGTGCTAGAGACATAATATTCTAGATACTTTATGCCAGTTTAATAAATTTGGATATATTTGTAATCTATAATAATTTCAAAATATGTATTAAAATCAAGTAAATATTTGTATTTTGATTTGTCTTTTATTTTAATAGTCATGTCCTGAGATGATGGAAAAACTACTTTTTTCTAACATATTGGATAAGGTTAGAGATAATGAAGACGTAAGTAAACACTTTAAGTAATATTTAATACAATTTATGCATAAACATGAATTTTGTCTGAACTGTGGAATTTTTCAAATCTTTTCCTGTCTTAATCAAATGTTTATGATTGATAAATTTCTTATGATATTTATTCTTAAGAAATTCTGTTACTTTTTAAAGTAACAAAATTTTTTGAGACTACTTTCAGCTTTCAAAACCTGAATCGAAAACATTATTTAGTAAATTTCATTGCTGAATTTTTTAAAGGTGTGATTTTTTGTAATCTATTATGTTTGCTTATCACTTATATGATTTTATGAATTAACCTACAAAATAAAACTTTTTTCTGAAGCTTCACAAAAAATTTTAATGAATTGGTTGATAATAAAAAATTTCATCAGAATAATCAGAAAAATATTAAAATTGTTCAGCATATTAAGAGTAGAATTACAATTTACTTAATAGTTATTTAACATTCAATGTTCATCAATTGCTGAGTGAGTTCTCATCAGTGAGTGGTAAGTCCTAACAAGTGCTAATTATAGTTCTCAGATAATTAATAATAGTGGGACAAGAAGCTTAATATTAATTACTTAATGCTGTTTCAGACAGTTTTTAAAAACTAAGAAGAATAATTACTAAGAAACTGTTCCATATTTCAAATTCTTAAGAATGATTTGATTGTTAAACTTCCCAAATACAGCAGAATCCTATTTATCAAGCTCAAATTGGACTGGCCTAATCCAAATGACTGAAAAACCAGAAAATTCATTAACAACATAAATAACACAGTTTAGATGTACATAATATTTTATTTATTGCAATGTGCAATAAATAAATTATTATATATAAATAAAAAATAAATAAAATAAAAAATGTATATACTTTTTTGCTTTATATTGTTAATATTGTTGTAAGACATCTATGTACAGTTGTTTTCTATCAGCTGGTACAGCACAAATACATAAGTTTCCTGATCATTTGTGTAGGGTAGAACTTCTCTTTGATCTTTTTCAAAGTTAATTATTAATTAGGCTTGGTGCTCTGTTGGGAAACCAAAAGACTAATTTGAACTGAAGTAATTGTGATATGCTGTACTATATTTATTTTTGTTACCAGATCCTTGGTTATAAAGTTACAAGTGTTCAAAATTGGCATTGAGCCAAGGAAAAACAGTATTATTACAGCAGTAACATTATACTCAGACAAGAATGTACTACTAACAAGTTAGACATACAGAAAGTTATATATGCAAAAGAACTCTCTCTCTTATCTGGATTAACAGAGTTCTACTGTATGTTGTACAGATAAAAGAAATAATGAACATTTTACTTTTGAATGTTCAGTACATGGTATTATAGAATTGATACTTTATAAATTAAAAGATGAAATTGTTAGAAATCTTAAAATGTTCACATGCTTTAAAAATTAAGTTTTTTTTTTAAAATAACATTCAGAATCTTCATATTCAAAAATCCTACTAATTTAAATGTCAGAATCATGTTTTGAAATCAATGTTTGTTCCTAATTTTACTTTTAGACATATTTAACCAGTTAAAAGAATAAATCTTATTTGATCAGGGTTATCTGCTGCTGGCTTGAGTTGTAGCCAGTTAGCAGGTATATTTTTAAGATTTTTTTAATTATTATTCTAGATATCTTTATTAAATTGTTCTGTGACGGAGAATAAAGTTAAGTTAATTTATGATCGTTTACTAATTTTCCATTGTATTCTTAATTATGTTATAGATAGAAATTTTATTTATTTTTTGTTAACAGAACATTGAATCATATGGATTTTATTGAGAAATTAAAAGTATTTGTCCCAATATACTACAGCTTATCAAACTAGTTTTACAAAATTAGCCAAAAAGTTTTAAAAAAATGCATAAGAAACTAGGGGTTAATGATTTAGTTGTTAATTTTAAGTAACAAATTTTTGTTATTTATTTTTGATAGAAATTTATCTAACAAAAATTTGGTAAAGTTGAAAAAGGAACATCCCTTTTCAACTTGCAGAAAACAGTTTAGTTCTAAAAATAGTTAGTATATGAGACATCTCACACTATCATCTGTGATACTGCATGACTTCCATAACACGTTAGAAGCATGGAGGGTTTATTTCTAACAATCCGATTGAATGGAATTTTCGTATAAAAGGCAAGAAGTCACTTTCAAAAGTGTTTTTTGTCAGCATCCTTGCCATTGCAATTAGCCAGTGCTCTCATTCCTCTCCCCAGTTCTCTATTTTTACTTGTTCCCAAGAACTTTCAACACTCCACGTCTAAGATGAATGTATTACAGGTAGGAATTTTGTAAACTCTCTCTCTCTCAGAAAAGCATTAGGGAATACATCGTCATTCATCTTATTTCCTTTTTAGAATCATTTACATTTTAGAGGTTTATTTCTATAAATGTTTATTACACAAAAATATCATATCAATCACATTTTTATAATAAATTTATTAATAAGGGATGAACAAAACTATCTTTTAATTATTGTATTTTGATTTGATTAGTGCCTCACTCCATCGCCTGTTCATGATTATCAACAATTTAACTTAAACCTTTTTAAAAATTCCAGCAAATTTTTAATAGACTTTTTTCCACTTGGAAAGTCAATATCACAAGTTAAGATGTGGTTAAATTTATTCTAACTGCTGTCAGGACTCTTAAGAGAAAGATTTCTCTGATCTGTCTTTCTACATTTCCATTCTGAATGTGGAACAGGGTTATTCTGGAGTCCCCTGTTCTCACACATAATCAACTATAAAAAAATTATCTAAACAAAATTTTATAATAATACATCTTAAAATATTTATTTCCATCATATATGTTTTTAACTTTATATGAATAAATCTAAGTTTTTATAAAATACATAAAAATAAATAAATATTTATTTATTTTTAAGTTTCAATTAATTTAGTATGTATGTGATAGAAATTTGTTAAGTTGTTTAAGTTCTATAAAAATTGCCAATAGATTTACTCACTGTATTCCTGGGGGTGTCATTTTGGGAATCACTGGCTATTGGTGTTCCCACCTAAATCAGAAAATGGACCAAAACTTTAAAAAAACAAATTTAAATATACAGGGTGTATCAGTATAGCAGTTACAAACTTTCAGGAGAGATAGAGTACACCTAGATGATAGGAAATCACATAGCAATGCATGGTCAGAAACGCTTTCTTGTGTTTTGTGTCATCACTACCATGCCAGGAAAGGAAGGACACGAACAGGGTAAGAAAACATGTTTATTATTCTTAGTACGGCAAAAATGCTGGGACGTCTTTGGCTGGTGTATGCGATGTTGCTACGTAAACCAGAGTATCAGATTACATTGCATGTGCGCAAGAATAATAAATATGTTTTCTTATCCTGTTCGTATCATCAATACCACACAAGGAAAACATTTCCGACCATGATGATTTCCCATTGTCTATGTGTACTCTCTCTCTCTGCTGAAAGTTTGTAATCGCTGTACCAATACACCCTGTATACAAACTGCTAAAGAATAAAAATTTTCAGTTTCTATTTTAATTTAAGAGCATAATTTTTTATACTGTTCTATTCTTCTTGTTACAGTTGTAATAGTAATGTTATAAATATAACTTACAAACAACTTTTAAATAATGAATATTTTTAAAATACTTTGTAAATAGTAATAAAATTTAATTAATTTAAATGCATTATGTGACATTATTTAACAAGTTTGTCAATACAATTCACAATCTTTTTTGCAGGAAACTATGGGAAGGAAACTTGTTGAAGTAGTTAAATCAACAGCAACTTCCCAAATGACTAAAGGAGCTGCTTTTAGTGGCTTGATGAATGCATTCAGTGAGTACTACTAAATTTTATTATGTTCAATAGAAATTTGCTTAATAGTAATATTCTGTATTTCTGTGTTAATGTATTTTACAATAGATTTCACATCTGTTGTCAAATCCATCCAACAAAGTATATAATTACAGTCAAACTTCTATATAATAAATTTTTGAATTGTACACTGCTCTTTCAGCTGAAAATATGTAAAATTGCTTCTAAATAACAAATTTTTTTTATACGTAAGGACCATCGGTCAATAACCTATTAAAACAAAAAATAATAATATTTTGGAAGTTAGTTATAATTTTTATATTAAAATGACTAGTGACATCTAGTTTCAAAAATGTTCAGATGCTGAAACGAGATATGTCAGAAATACCAGGGAGTATGTTAAAAGTCAGTTACTCTCTCTGGGTCAAGTTCGAATTTAGGTTCAATTTCAGGTATCAATCTGTAAATCCTTTGTAAATCTGTGGCCCAGGTGTTAGAAATATTGGATATTAGCTTTTAAAATCATCATGTAATCTGCCCCCATGTGGCTACCAGTTGTAAAGAAGGGAGAGAGAGAGACTAGGTTCAAATGCCTTCGTTGACAGATAAACAATTTACAATTAACAAATGTCAAAATGTTAGAAAGTTGATAATTTTGACAATTGCTGGATTAATTTTTCAGGTTAGTGAGATTTTATTTTATTTAATAAGTTGTCCAGTTGGAATTTGAAGAGATGTTAATATAGTGTTTAAGCATTACTAAAAAAAAGTAATGAGTTGTGGGACATTGATAAAGTTGAATAAAAGATAGACATTGTAGCAAAGTTTGGAATTCCTGTGAGTTAATCAACCATAATAACAAATAGCAATTCTGTTTTGCAATTAGCCAGTGATGTGATACCTGCAGGAAAAGGTGCTAGATTAACCTGCATTTATATTTGTTTAGAAAGTAAGTTCGTTTTTTTATCACTAGATGGATTANTGCCGAATAACAACACGTGAAATCACTAAGAGATTAAATTTGTCAAATTGAAGTGTTTATGATTACTTGAAACAAATTGGTTTCATTTCAAAGCTTGATATATGGGTTAAACATGTTCTTAAAGAGAGATGCTATCTTTGGTGGGATTTTAAGGAAATTTTTTTTTTGGAGCTTTTACAAGACAACTTACTCGATGGCAGTACACTTTCAAATCAATTGTTAAACAAATTGAGTAATATCATCAAACAGAAAAGGCAGCCAGAATTGATCAACAAAACAGGTGTTGTGTTTTACTACGATAATGTCAAATTTCACACAAGTTTGGTAACTCATCAGAAACTGTTATAACTTAGATGGGACATGCTATTGCACCAACCATACTCGTCAGATCAAGCACACTCAGATTATTACTTGTTCCGGTCTATAAATTTTTTTTAACTGTAAAACATTTACTTGAAATGACAATGTCAAAAATCACTTGGATCAGTTTTTTATAAGTAACAATCAAAACTTTTATGAATGTGAAATCATGCTACTACCAGAAACGATGACAACAGGTATTTGACCAAAATGGTTGATTAATAAATATTTTATTGAATTATATATTATAAAAATATTGTGTTTTTTTCCACAGAAAAAAAACGAACATACTTTCCAAACAACCCAATACATGATGTAGACGGAGTTTTAATGCTCTTAATAAATGTGAAGCATATTTTGAAGAGAGAACATTTTTTAATTGTTTCATGCAACAAAAAAACAAACTACAATTTTTCTTTTTTACAAAAATGTAAAGTATTTTAACACACATTATAATGTAAATGTATTTAAAATTAAAACTACATTATTTACCAAAAAGTGTAATTTCTGTATAACAAAATTTTCCTGTAGTGATTATTTGTTCCCCAGAATATAGAAGTTTTTATATACAAAGGAATTACTTTTATTACAGATTCATGAAGCAAACATGCTGTTGGTCCAAATATTAATCAATATCTTTTGCTAGTTTTAATTTAGAGGGACAAAAATCGCTCTCAATCTATTTTTGAGTTTATATTTCTTGTCCGTTTAATGTTTCCTTTGATTTTGATAACTGTCTGTGGTACACATTAACATTCAATGAACTGAATTTTAGCATCATTGTTTAGCAATTTAATCATCAGCCTACTTTCCCTGGCATGATGTACTGTACAGGATCAGTGGAAATTAAGTAACTAAGAATTGAGAAATTGATATAATTTTTTTAATAATAATGCAATTGTAATAAACTTTGTGTACATACATCAATAAATGGAATTTTTACAATTCATAAATTGATTGTGTAGGCAGTGACCAAGAGAGGCTGCATGAACAATGGCAAACAAGATGGCTGACCTATTTGTCTGCTCAGGAATGAGCACAGATTGTTGCTTGCTATGAGGTGTGAAAATCAGTGGTTGTTGTGCAGAGATGGTGGCATTTGGTGAAGGGAGCATATGCTACAATCCATTTGGAAACAATCAAGAATTGTCACTTGAAGCTAAAATGACCACAGGCTCAGTTGCATATGCACAGACAAATAGCCATCCATCCACATCACAATATGAGGAAGGTGGCTGTTGGGAGATTACACTGGTGCCTACATTGAATTTTAATAGATGCATCCATATTTCCATTTAATAAGACACATGTCAAATAATTTTCATCATTGTTAGAAATACTGTATATCAGGAGTGGTGAACCTATGGCATGTTTGCCATAGTTGCACATAAGGAGAAATCATCTTATATGTAACATATCACAAGTTTGAAAAAGACAGGTTATAAAGCAATCATCCTTTTTTCAATCAACTTTTTTATGTTATCCGAATATGCTTTAGACTTTGTATAATTTTTTAAAATGTCATTTATTCTAAAGTTTTGGTCTGCTTACTATATAGCATGTGGGCTCAAAAAGGTTTGCAGTCCCTTCTGTATATCAACAAACTATTTTGATTTATTGAGAACAAGGAGTATTATTTCTTGATAACCTTCAAATGTTATCAAGAAACTACTTTGTTTTCTGAACAAAGTAGTTTCATATTGTAGATTATGTAATAATGACAGGATGCTAAAAATACTTCATTTTTGCAAAAATTTAACAGAAATGTTCAAAAAATCATTTTAATTAAAGGATATAGCAATAAATCTATAATATATGCATAAAAAATATATTGTTAGATTGACAAGTCCCTGGACTCACAGATGGAAAAACAGAATATTATTAAACTCTTTCATAAATTGAAAAGTAATGTTTTTATTAGTAGCCATTTTGCTGTATACATTTTCTCTAGTGGCAGACAAATTTCTCCAACATTTTTTAAATGCATTCTTGAACACACAGCTACTACCCAGAACTAGTAACTGAGGTCTACAAATTGCATTGGAAATCATAAACATTCCCCCCTTCACAACAATGCAGTGGTCAAAAGCAACAGTTGAACATAGCAAATTTCAAGAGCAACTCCCACACCACCCAAACAGCCCTAATATTGTTCCTAGTGACTTTTCTGTTTCAAAAGCTGAAAAAAACCTGGCTAAATAACACTTCCTTCATTTCATCAACCAATTTCTAAGCACTCCTTCCAATATTCTTCAAAAAGGCATTTGGAAGACCTTGTCTGCCACTGGAAAAAAGTGTGTAAAGCAAAATGACTCCTACATTGAAAAATAAATGTATATAATAATGCTTTTTTATTAGTAAAAAATTTAATACTTAGATTCACACGGATGAAGAAACAGAGGACTCATATATTGATAGTTGGGTCAATATGTTCCCTAAATTATAATGTCCATGTTAAAAATTCAAAGTTGAAAAGTGATTTGAATAATTTTTGTTTAATTCAAACATTAATCATTACATTAATCATTTGTGTATTTTGTTTTGCTAAGTAACTCATGTAGTACATTATAGAATGGAATTAGTTTGCATTAGCAAACTGTATATAGAGGTATCTTGTACTTCAAACTGAATGGTCTCTTGGAATGAATTAAAAGTACAAAGCAATTTTTCCCATTAGAAATAATGGAAAGTGAGTTAATCTGTTCCAGACCCTAAATGATACCCATTTCAGTAACTTAAAACTGCAAATACACATAATTTAAGATAAAAAATAACACAAGTAAATGCCTAATAATAAATTAAATCATGGAAACAATAAATAAAATACATAAATAATATATAATAAAATGAAAATTGCATTCACCGGTAGCACACCATTGACTTTGGCATCTTAAACATGTGTACTGCTTTCATGCTTCACAATAAATTCCTTTTTCATCTTAGTCTTTTTCAAGCCTTCCCCTTACTAATTAAATTTTGTAGCTTCCACACACTTCTCGGATCCCATGAATAATAATTAAAGGTTATACAGTGGAAGTTGCATACAATGAACTCTAATATAATGTAACCTCTGTTTTATTGAACTGAACAGTCTAGTTCCAGCAAATCTGCTATGTTTTTAATGCATTTTTCATTGGATATAGTGAACCAAATTATTCTGAACTTCTATTTGAAAGACCTCTATTACAGTGAACTGCCTGCAATGAACATCAAAACATCTGGTAAACCATGTGCTGCTCCTTTTGCTAGAAAACATTTGTTGCTACTAGAAAGTACAGTACTATATTAGTTACTGATATTAGCATAGCCAATAACTTTCCTCATTAACCTAATGTGAGAAGCTGGGGGCCACAGGGTCAATCCCTAATGACCACTTAACGTGAGCAGTCTTTGCAGACTGTTGCTGATTGTTGTTTCAGAGTGCTTTTTATCGAGTGGCAAGGGAGTGAGCAAGTCGATAGGTGTCTTTGGATAGACAGGAGACAGGTTTAACATAAATAATAAACCTTTATTTTAGTTAACTAACTATAACATACATGAGACTACACAGAGTTAGAAAAATATGCAGATTATATGGCTAAATGCGATTAAATGTGATTAGCCTTTTGTAAAAGGTTATACTTGTAATCGCATCCTAATCTATCAGCTAGGCCTGGTTTCAGAGAGAGAGTTCACTTGTTCGCTAACAATTACCTCTAAGGTTGGAGGCAAACTAAATGTGGAGATTTCTGTAGGAAAGTTCCGGAACTGTTATTTCTTCCAACCGGGTCTTCTTCTTTCGTTGGATCGAATCCATTAGGTCAAAGTTCAGGAGACTATATGGGCACTATTACCAATTATAACTTCCGAGCGTGAACTCTCGAGCTTCCAGTAGCTCACACTTTTATCTCATGGGAAAGAGGTCATGTGATCAACAAATGTTGGCAATGATGAAGCATTCTTGACAGCTAAGTGTAAACTTTTGCACTGACTTGTTACTACAACTGGTGACCTCTACCCTCATTCTCTATTTTTTCTATTGGGGGATTTTACATTTCAAAAAACACAATTCTCATTAATTTTTACAATCTTAAAATCCACAACATCACACTAGAATTCGTCACTCTTTTGTATTCACTCACATTCTCAACTTTGACAATGCTCTTGCTACAGAAGGAGTCCTTACAGATGAAGAAATTTTATGATCTGTGATTGCCCAGAAAGAAAAAATGAAGGAAGAAAAAGAAAGTGATGAGTGTGAAGCAATTGTTCCTGTTCTGAATATTGAAAAAGCCAAGAAGGCATTGGAAATAATATGAATGTGGGGACTTGACAAACATCAAGAAGAATCAGATGCAAATATATTTGCAAACAATGTTTGTCAATTGGAGAGTGCTAAACAAAAATCTCATTAAGAATTACAAACAAAAGCCAATTAGCAATTTTTTTTTCTTTTTCAAAGTTGTAAAATTAGATGGTCATAAAGGACAATAAAAGTGCTTCATAAATACAGTTCTACTGAATATTGAGTGAATTATTAAATCTTTCAATGAATTATAATCATTCTTTTGATACATGATTATAATGAACTTTGGATACAATGAACTAAAACTAGTAATTCTTTGCATGTTTCACTGTGTTGGTTTGAACAGAATGTTTAAGGGATTTTTAAAAGCTTCAGTTACTTAACATAGATGTGTGATTTAATAGTTAATAGATGTGTGATATAACAGTTGTGAATTTTAATACAGTAGAGCATC